TTTGTTCGAACAAAAGTAAGAGAAATTTAGGATAAGAATACGAACATGTTCTTGCATGAGGCCCATTGTTTCTTGAACACATTTTGCAACTAAGGTGGTAAAGGTAAGGAAAAAGAAAAAAAGGGTCTAAAAATATAACTTTTCTTGTTTAGTCACTCTAGAGTTTAACTGATTTAAACTTGCTTCAAGAAAACTTCATCCTCCCCTCCCAAAAATGTTTTTGCATGTTTTTAATTAATTTTCTCCTTTAAGCTTAATTTCCCTGACGGTTTACCTTCTGACTCCCTGTGCCCGTCGTGGGACTGAGGTTGGAAACAAAGATCGATTTGGCTTGAGAAGGCGGAGCTTGGACACAGGTTGTTGTTGTGAGGGGTGGAAGACGAGCTCGTCCACGAGGACGGGCTCCTGACCTCACAGCAGGAACATCGGCTGAGTGAGACAGGTTCATCTGCCACAGACCTGCACACGTAAAGCGCCCACACACCCACACACACAGAGGAAAAGCGGAGGGCTTAAGAGTCAGACAGCAAGTCTACCTACACCATTGACCTGCAGTTATTATATTATGTTAACAAACACAATATGTATCTGATGACAATAGCTTGTCTTTTTATTTTGCATTACATTCTTCTGTTTACAATGTGTCCATACATAAACAGTCTGTATACATATTTTTTTTCTTTTTACTATGCATTAGTGTCTGTGCACCCCCATATCATTAGAGAGGCAGGCATTTGGACTGTCTTCTTATAACACATGACCTTACGCTTTCATAAGAAGGATATGGCATCTTTGGTTTCGAAAAAGAATTTCAATTTTTTAAAGAGATTTAGATTTCGCTGCAGTCCATTTTTAATGTACAGAGAAGACAGCTTTTGTGTTTACAGGCAATTTATAAAATACTTTTCGAAAAAGAAACAAGTGCTCTCAGAGAATGCTACTGTTGTGAGTGAACATGGTTTGCAACAGAGCCTGAACTTATGAAACAAGCTGAGGGAACATTGCATCAACATGCTGGGAAGTAAACTGACTGGACTGGTTGAAGGATCTGCCCAGTGCCGGGGTCAGGAGACAGGCTTGGACCCAAATCTCCTGGCACAACATCTTTAAAAAAAAAATTGCCTCTGGGACGATGTTTCAGAACTAAAATCAGCAGACACAAAAYAGATTTCTCTCACTGCTGTTTTCCTTCTTTATAAACGTTTGCTACTCCTGCACCGCAACCAGGAAAACGTCCTGTACATCTGGTAAAATATGATGTTMAAGATGTTAGAAAAAATCCAAACTGATGAAAAAAACTCAAGTTTTTTCTACAAAATGTTGCTCAAAGCATCACACCACCCCTGCAAACTGTTGTATTTCAAACAATACRCACAAGTAAACTTGTGTTTTGTTTCTTTTTCATTCATTGCTCTATGGTCCACTCCTGACACGCATATGCCTGCTTTAGGTGTTAGTGGTGACAGACTCTGTGCTTTGTGATCTCTGAATGGTGTGCAGCACTTTGACAAACAATTCCATTTGGAGCAAAGCTCCAGCCCAATTAGTTGCACTTGGAGTACGTTTACCAATATTTATATCAATGYCTGTAAAATCTACAGAATTACAAACACAGGAGGACATGTTTTTGTCCTCCTTTTGCCTTTTWATTTTTAGTAATTATGGTTGAAAAATCATTTCATATCACCCCAATACATTTTTCCCCTCAACTAATTACAACCYAAACATATCCACACGTTTAAAAACTGAAAGGTTGCTGGTAATTCATGATGCTTTCATCTGTTTTACCTGAGAGCTGGCATCACTTGTCTCCCCCTGGTGGTGGACAGAGAGGAGAGCAGCTGCTGGTTCTCGCTGAACACCAGCACATCTCTGAGGCTGGAGTTGGTCAGAGCGGTTCCGGCTCGGCAGACACTGAACAGGTCGTAGCACAGGACCACGGCTCCTCGGGCTGGCACCGTGGAGCCTTCAGGAAGCATCTGATCTGCGAGGGACACAGACGAGACGAAGTCGTACACAGAGAGCAAAGACCATGCATCATGGGGAAAAGAACGATTGCGAAAAACAAGGATTAGGAAGATGGGTCATCTCATACTTCACTCCTCCCATCTCCCCCTCACCTGCTTCGGTGACATTTCCAATGACATAAAACCCATCCTGGTTAACAGATCCCTTCAAAGGAAGAGCGATGACGGTCCCACTGCGCTCCTGGTCAAACACCGAGAGGACCAATCCCTGCAGGTCTGTCATAGGTGGTCCGTGCAGCTCCACGAAGGCTCTCTGCTGGCTGTGATTGGTCCAGAGTTTGCTGGCCACCTCATTGATGACGACACCTTCAGGTGCCGGAGGGGGACGAGGGCAGCTGTTTTCCCGCAGAGGGGTAGGAGGAGCCACCTACGATTATTCATGCAAGAGCTTTAAGTTTAAAACTGACACAACGTCTTAAAAGTGACTGTAAGATAGTCGTGTATTCTCTTTGTACTCACAGAAAAAGCCGACATGTCGTAAGGATAAAGGCCTCGGCAGCGGCTGAGGGCCTCGTCTCCGGGCAGAGCATCAGGGTCCTCCAGCAATGGCAGCTGACCTGGAGTCAGATATTTACTCAGCTCCTGTGCCTCCCTGTCCGACCCCCTCTGTCGGTACACCACTGCATCCAGAAGGCCTTTAGTGGGGATCCCTCTCTGCATGGCTGACGGTGGTCCAAAAGGGCTACGATACAGCGCCACGGCATCGGGTCCATTCTGGATAGTGTTAGGGGGCAGGCGAAGCGACGGGGCAGGCACCAACCTATCACTGCCCAGAAGAAAATACCCCTTGGCGGTGGTGAAGTGCCCACTCAGGCTGATCTCTCGGTAGGGTTTGTTGTTGTGCGCGCTGAAAAGGAGGATCCAGATGCCCTGCAGGGACACTCTGCGGCCCGATGGGTGCCACAGCTCGATGTACTCTCCGTCCTCAGCTGCGCCTGGCGTGTCGGTGTTCAGCTCGTTGATCAGGAAGTCCCTGTTACCCCAGGGTGGGAGGTGGGAGGGAGAATCTGTACCTCCTGGAGTCACTACAGGATAAAAGCTTTTTAAAAAATGACTGCTCCAGTTTACAATTTCTAAAAATGTACTGTATATGTATATCAGCAACACATACCACAAACACTACTGCAATGACTCTATTGTCTAACAAACTATTGTTTTTATCAACCAAAAACAACAACAACAGCAACAAAAAATAGCTTCAAAAATCATCTATCGGCTGCCCTGAAATTTTAACCCATTGTTAATAAACTCAAATCAGCTGACTTCAAGTTTTAATTACTAATTATAAATCCACCAGTAACCCCCCCACTCCAGCAACAACTACCTACACACAATAGGAGGCTGTGGACTGGCAATGCTGCAATTAAAACAACATCCTGTTTACTCATCAAACTAATTAGGCCAATGTTGRCCCTAACTGCCAACATTGGTGCAGAAAAACTGGGGAGAGGTGAAGAATCTCCCATGACACCAGATCAACATCCTATTTTTGTTTTTGGGGGAGTCGTCCTGTAATCGGTGGGTTGCCGGTTCGATGAATGGGTAAATGATTGAAGTGTAAAGCACTTCGGAATCTGTATGAACTTGATAAAGTGCTATTTAAGTTCAATCCATTTGCCATTTTTCAAATGTGGCCCGTTTTAAAAAGAACAGGTGAGCTTATCCTGCAGGCAGAGCTTGTTAGAAAGGAGCACAGAGCCTGTTTCGTGTTCCCTACAGGACAGAGGCACAGACGGCAGTGTAGAAACAGGATGGATAGCTAGAGGCCCAAATCAGCCAGATCATGGCCTGTTTTCTGTGTTTCCATCCCTCCTGCAGCCTGAGGATCAACATGATGAAGATCAAGATGAGCTTCTTTCCACAGGCCATCCGGGTGCTCAATGAGAACACGGCTCAGGGCGCCTCTCTGTTCCCTTCACCAGCGCCACCAGTACAAGACAAACAGCCGACATTCAGCTACACTGTCTTACAGTGCGTACACACTAATCATTACTGCTTTTAATCTTAAGCTCATAGAACTGAGTCTTAATCCTCAAACAGAAACAGACCCACAAATGAAGCAACAGAGTTCTAATGGTAAATCATCAGTGTCATCTTACAGATAATTTAATAAAAATATCAGATTACATACTTTATTGTAACTCCCTAAAATTAATTGTTGAATGGATAAGCAGCTAAATAAGCCAAAGCTAATTCTGTAAATTTGATTTCAAAGCAAGCGTTTACTTTAACCCCTTATTAATGTCTTCTCTAGAAACTGTCAGAGGCACAAACATCTGTTTGTTTTCCTTCTGCGTGTCTCTCCATCTTTTTCCCCAACTACTCCCACACCTGGGGCCTCACGTATAAAGGATTGCGCAGCTTTCACACTAAAAGTTGACGTACGGACAAATTTAGAAATGTGCGCCGCACCAAAATATTCAGATATATAAAACCATGCGTACGCATGTTCCTGCGCACCTTTCCTTTATATAGCGGGTAAAATAAGTATTGAACACGTCACCATTTTTCTCAGTAAATATATTACTAGAGGTGCTAATGACGTGAAATTTTCACCAGATGTTGGTAACAACCCAAGTGATCCATACATACAAAGAAATCAAACCATAAATGTCCAGAAATGAAGTTATTTGTAATAATGTGGACCAGGTGCTCCTCACAAGATTTCTGACAGAGGAGTGAAAAGAATTATCAGAAGAGTTGTCCAAG